TTTAAATAATCATTTAAATTCATGTTTTAAAAGAAATATTTAATATCATAATATTTAATGTGTTAAAACCTATTTTAAGATAATAAAGTGAGTTACTACTCACTACATAAGAGTATAATTCCATTTTATTAAAATACATGTAAACATACATATGCACATATTCCAAGAGAAAAAAAAACACCTGAAACAATATGTAGCAGGTCCTCATATCATATTTCATTCAGCATCATTTTGTTATCTATGTTGATGAGATGCCACGGGAACTCAACTCTTGTTTATTATCAATTAACCTATGATGAAACTGGTTTTGTTACACATCATTTCGCTTAAAGACACAGAACCTATTGACAACGTTAAGTGAGGTCTTACTGTGTGCCAAAATGTTATCAATGAGATAAAATTATAGTCAATCTTGATTCCTTCATCTATATTTTCTAAATTTTTACATATAAAATGTAAAAAAATTGAAAGGAAAAATTTATTTTTCTAAAGATTGTTCAGAGGCTCTCAAATTTACCCATTTGTCTGGCTTCATTTGGGAGCACATCCTTAAAGCTAAATATTTCTCCTCTGAAACCTAGAGCGCTCTTTCTAATAAGCTAACACGTGGACTCCAGAGTTAAACATCACATGACAATATAGGAAGAAATCATAGGATATCTGCGCAGCTCCGACACGGACTGCCAACCAGGGTTCTCATCGATTAGAGCCAGATCGGGCACCTCCTGTTGCCCTTTTAGAGTTTCGCTTGAGTTAAGAGATTCACTAACAAGTGACTGGCTGATTTTTCACTAACATTTGTCTTACTTCACAAAGATGAAACCAAAGAAAATTTTCCCAGCTCCACATAGAACACCTTGTGCCTAGTTTTTTCTGCTCTCACGTGGTCTTCTTCCTTTCCCCACCCATCAGGGTTCCACCTTTCTTCCAACACCTTCCTAAGCAGGCTGCCCCCACCTCCGCCCCAGGAAGCCTTCTTTAATCCACCTACCCCAAAGTGTCTCAGAAGTCTCAGCATGCAGGAGTCCTGGATAAAGGGAAGCTATTGCCAGTGCTATCATCTTTTCATCAGCGTTCTGCTCTAAGGTGAGCATTTCCTGTATGAATGGGCTCTTGGCCAGTGTCAGCGGTGTCACTGGCACTCCGAGGTCACAGAGCCAGAAATAAGAAGCTCTTGGCCCCAGACCCCAGAGTGACAGAATTGTACCTGGGAGATCACGTGTTTCGCTCCATTCTCCCGTTTGCACTCCCATACTCCAATGACAATAAACAATATAGTTTCCTTAGGAGAGGGAATATGTTTGTGAGTAATAATTCCATCTTTAATCCATGAAGCGCACCAGGACAATAATCCACAAAGTGCCAAAAGTGACTCATTTGGCTTCCACTTCAGCATGCCCATCCAGGCTTTAGTTCACCCAGTTTCCAGACCTTTTGTCCTCTAACCAGTTTAGCTAATGTGCAAACCTATTCCCAAACAGCCATCAAAACAGATTATTACCAACAGACTGGAGAATGACGCAAATGTAGGCCATCTACATAAGTGAAACAAGTTGAGCCCAAAGGGATCATTTGTGTGGCTGCAATCGTGGAGATGGGCTGTATCCACAGGACTGAATTCACAATTGCTGGTTTTAGCAATTTAACCCTGGTTCTTTCTTGACCCAAGCCGTGGGTGGGTCTAATCCTTGAACTTCGAGAGCTCCCCACCCCCAACACCCACATACACACCCCCACGCCCCACACACAGATGGCATAATTGGAAGGACACCAGAGGACTGTAGCGCCATGTATTTTTTTTTTAATGAGAAATGAGCACGTGATTTCTTCTTTCTCCCCACACTCTCCCAGAGAAAAGGCCGGAAGCAGACGGAGCTGCCATGTTAGATAAGCAACTCTACAACAGAGCGTAAGAAGGTAGCATGTGGTGAATGTGAACCCACTGGGTCATTCATCAGAACTCTCCTATCAAAAGGATTTTCCCGCAGCCTAACCCAGGTTCTGCAGGATGGGTACCCTTCATGGCCTCCCTAACTGCTTCGAAGCCCACCAGCTCTCCATGAGCACTAATTTAATGGTGCCTTTTAACAAAAATGCCTGTGGCTGGAAAACCATGCCAGGTCTGTCCCTCGGCGAGCATCTTAAACTGCCCATCTCATCACCAACACAGTTGCCTTGGGGAAAATGCAGCTGCCCTGCTCCCAGTACCCAGTGCCCAAGGTCCCCCCCACAACACTCACACCAAGGGGTGAGCCATGCACATCGGGAGCTTTTTCATCAGTTTTGACTCAACAGTATCCATCAACATTTTGTCCCTATTTTTTCAAAAGTGTCGTTATTAAGAATAGAGAAGAGTCAGATGGAGACTCGTTATTACTGTGACCATATGATTTGCTGTGTCATCATGACTGACTCACGTTCCCTCTGAGTCTGTTTCCTTATTTGTGAGTTAAGAGGTTTGAACAAGATGACCTCTATGGTCCTACTGGGCTCTGACCTCCAGTAGGTCTACTTATTATAACCTACTAAATGCCCCTGCCCCACCCCACCTTCCTCCCACTCCCACCACAGGTAGGAGGTCAGTGTGCAGATGAGATTTTAGAACTCTCTAGACTTTGCAGCTGGAAGGGAACTCAAATAATCCACTGCCCAAATGCCATGCCTTCAGGCAGGTAACTAACGCAGTGTTATCCCCAAGATGTAGATAGGAAACTGTACTTTAGAAAGGCTAAATGACATACACAAAGCTCCCAACTGTCCTAATAGGTGATACCAGGAGGACTGGATGCCAAATCTTCAAGTTCCTCACACTGATCACCCCCAACACCACCAAACTGGTATGAAAAGGCATTATTTCAGGTGTCAGCCAAAGCTTTAAAAGGAAGTACTAAATATGAAATCAAATCTTTGCAGAAACAAATCATAGCTATAGCCCCTTAATACGTATACTGTTATTTATGATCAAGAGATGGCTGTAAGAGCTCTGATGCTAAACTCTTTGCCAACTAGAAAGCCACAGATAAATGATGTTTTTCCTACCTACAATCCATTTCATGAATCTAGAAGTCAGAAACCATGTCAGGGGTATTCACGATTAACGGCAAAGGAGTTCCAGCCCAACATACACAGTACCTGGGAAGAAGCTGTCTGCTCTGCTAACCTGCAAGGTAATCCTGACACATTTACATATGTGTTTATAGCTCCACCAATGTTTAGTAAGACCCTGTGGAAGCCAGAGAACTGTTCTATTTATCTTCAAAACTTCAGTGCCATCGCTATAAATAGCAAAGGGTTTAATTTAAAACCCCAAGTGCTTTTTTTAAAGTTAAATTTAATTTCCCATATGTGTGTATAAGAAGCTCTTTTAGGTTGAAATAATTCATTTGAATTATCTAAGCCAAAATGAGCATATTTTCCTCACAAACATAAAATTTTCTAGAAATGTGTTCACAGAGAAAAACATTCCCAACATAGACTAAAATTCACATTTAAGAATCCCAACGTTCACTTTAGGGGTGATTTTGTTCTTGTAAATGATCCATCTCGACTCACTTAATCCCCCTACAAAATCCACACAGAGAATTATTCCTTGGAATTTTAAAGCATATTTAAACACACTACAGAGGTAAAAGCGGGGGTTGTTCTGAGTCGAGAGCATCTGGATATCAGCTCCTCTTTACTGGAAAGAGAACTGAGGTAGTTGGGTTCTCACAGAGGAAGGCGCTCAAGTCCTCGCCCACTGCTGCAAAGAGACACCATATGCCACCAGCAAAACAGAGTCACTGGCCAGACCTTGTTATCCTGGCAGGGAGCTGACTGTTCTTTCCAGCTTTTCCAAGACTGAATCCCACCAGCCATTTAGCCCTGAGAGTGTATTTTGCCCCGAGAGTGTATTTTGCCCCAACTCAGCCTCCAGATGGCTTCCTGGGTTACCCACCTAGTTAACAGCCCAGCTAGACTAAGAACTCTGAGACCCTCTGTAACCTGAGGCAATGGGGGTGCATTGCTGCCTGAAGCTGAAGATTTGCCAGGTGAACTGTCAAATAGTAGGGAAAAAAAAAAGAACAATTCCCATAGAACACTTAAAGCAGATAAGAATCTGACATTTTCCTTTGCAATGACTTGACATCCTTGCTTTTTCAAAGAGAACATCCCTTTAAGTAGCCCGTGACCCTTCCTGCTGCAACATGTCCCAGGCACCCATTCACTGACTGTTGAAGCATGTCCTGATTCCAACACATTCACAGGGCATTTATCTTCTTTTAATACCTTCCATCGCCTGCAGGACTAACAATCCAAAGCAGTGTAATCCAATAACAACATTACTCTTAACCACAGCCTGACAACCTCAGCAAATTTAGCAAGGAAAAGTATAGACAACTGAATGCCACTGGTCACCTCCAAAATTCAGTTTAGCAAAGAAATTCATTCTTTTCCAATATTTACCCCTACCCCAAATTAAATAAAAGATATAAGCAAATAAACTTGGGAGGAAACAGCAGCCTTGTTGCTAGGAGTTAATTAAAATGAAACAGCCAAAGTAAGCAGCAGATGATAGAAAAGTCATAAGTAGGATGATCAACAGGTAGACATTCAGCAATTGCATACAGAGTGAAAGATTCAGCAATGCAGCAGCGGTGCATACCTGCTTCTGCAGCCCCACCACCCGAGCCCGTGGCATGCACTCCACGTGGAATAAGAGGGAAGCCTTGCGTCTCTTCCACATCATTCGCTTACATGCAGGACCTCTGAACCTCCAAAGGTAAGAACAGCAGGCAAGGATATCTATCAAGCATGCTCCCTCTGTTCCGAACATCAGTCATGCTAGCTCCCACCCATTAATTATTCTTCTGTTGACCTCCCACATTTAATCCAGCTTTAAAGACATGACAACAAGGTCTGAGATTTGAGGGATGTACCTGACTCTCTCTCCCCTCCAGGGGTGGTGGAATCTGATCAGCAAAACCAATCTTCCCTGGATCACCCATAAAGGCACTAACCTCATCCACGTTCTCAAAAGCGTTGATGACATCATATGGCAAACAGGACAGAAGGTCAATCACAAACCACGTCTTCAGGTAGTTCATACGGATGAGTTTGGGATCAGAAATCACCTCCCCAGCTGGTCCAACAAAGGTGGTATGAAAATTCAGCACAATGTCCACCAAAAAGATGACGTCCACGATGCTATCCACAACCAGCCAGGCTACATTGTTCTGCCTGGTTTTAAAGGAGACATTGTAAGGGACCAAGATGGCTGTGTAGAAGGTTAAGATCAAGATGATCCAATCCCACGTGGTCTTAAAAACACAGTAATGTAAGATGATGTGAGGGGGAGTCTTTGGTGCCTCTTGCTTGTATTGGGGAAGGATGTCTGAGCCCAGCTGCAGGACCTGTACAGAAAAACATGGCCAAGAGAGAACTAAGTTAGGATTTAATTGCGAGCATCTAACCAGTTAGCATCTGTCATTGACAAATATTCATGACACTCCAGACGGATCGGTAGGTGCAAGAGCAAGTACTACAGGAGTCTGAGAGAATGGAAATGGACATTCTCATATAAATAACCACAACAAAACAATGGCAAACTCTATTGGCTTACTGTGTGCCAAGCATTGTGCTAAATACTTCACATACATTTATTTTCTCACTTAATTCTAAATACAACTTCGTTTTATTAGCCAATTATTATTTTATGCAACAAGTGAGAAACTGAGGTTCAAGAGAATTAAGCAACTTTATTCAACAAATATTTACTGCTCTGTGCCAGGAACTGTTCTAGGCACTGGACATACAGTAATGAAGGAAATAGCATAATTTCTTCTCTTGTGAAGCTCAGTCTAGTAGGCAAATCAAGGTAATTTCAAATCGTGGTAAGAGCTAAATAAGAGGTGGCGAGGGACACACAGTGATTTGATAGACCGTGACTTGAGGAATAAGGTAGGGGAGAGTATTTAAACTCAAATCTGAATGACAGCAAAGAAACAGCCATTCAAACCTATGTGGAAAAATTATCCTAAGCAGAGAGCATAACTGGCGTAATGAACTCACGGTGGGACAAGCTTGATACATGCAGGAAACGACAGAAGTCCAGCGTGAATGAGAGGCAGAGGGATGCTAGAATGAGAGGCAAAGGGATGCTAGATGAGCTCAGAAGGGAGGCAGAAACCAGGACCTAGTGGACCATGGGGAGGCACTGGATTTTATTCTTAGTACATCTGAGTATAACTGGAGGTTGGTAAGCAAGAAAATAATCTGATGCATATCAAAAAAAAGATCATGCCGCCTGCTTCATAGGTAATGAATTGAGGCAGAGAATTAGAGGGAAGAATAGAATCAGGAAACTTATTATAACAACCTGGGGAAAAGATAGAACAGAAGAGAAAAGTAGTCCGATTTGGGGTATATTTTTGAAGTAAAACTAACTGAACTTGCTGATGGCTAGAAAAAGAAGAAAACAGAGTAATGAAAGGTACCCACTACTTTATTCCAAAAACCCGGCATGGTACTTGGCCCAGAGTAGGTACTACAAGACTATTTTTAAGTGAATGAATGAACTTTAAGGTCACGTGGCCAGCAAAAGATAGAACCAGAATCCCAAACTAGATCCAACTCAATTAAAAACACATGCTTTCCCATACCAAGGCTTCATTTCTCTAAATAACAAGTTTTTAACTAAGCATACTCAGTGAAGGAAGAAGTCCGGAGAAGCTTGGCTCCAAGACAGTATCATAAATGGCTTTCACTTCAAGAGTCAAAGGCAAAAAGCTATGCTTTCAGAGGTCAGGCCAAGCTGGAAGGGATCCCTCCCCACCCCGCATCCCCACCCGCACCCCTACCCCAACTGCTCCTCTGTACCACTTACAGGTTCTCATAAATCTGTAGGTTAAACTTCCCCTTGTGTCATGAGAACTTTTTCCCTCCAGAGGTTAAAGACCCGTTAGCAAATATAAAAATAATCTGAATATTCCTGCTCCTCCTATGGTTGGTCCCAGGCCTTAAAACATGACCAATAAAAAAATCTAGAAATCCAGAGTGCTCAGTGTGCACCTTTAGGTATGGGAATTCTTTCCATCCCTCCCATTGATGCACAGAGCTCTTCTAGACTTAGGATTTTAATTTCTCTCCCCATGAAATGAACTTATACAAGAGTGATTATCGAAGCTTGGGCTCTGACACCTCAGGCAGGAAAAGGAATTGACCTATAAGAATAAAGCAAATAAAATTAACTGAATGGGGTCTCTCACCATAAGCAGCCTGAGGTAACCTTTGAAAATGGTTTGCTACTCACTTGACCCAGAAAAGCCTACATAATCATGCAAATCAAGAGATTCAAATCTTCATGTTCACTTTAAGAACACTCTTGAAACTGCCCAGGCCATCAAGGGTATGCATATCTGAAAAGCCGCCAAGTATCTGAAGGATGTCACTTTAGAGAAGGAATGTGTGCCATTCTGTCATTATAATGGTGGAGCTGGTAGGCATGCCCAGGCTAAACTGTGGGGCTGGATGCAGGGTTGCTGGCCCCAAAAGAGTGCTGAATTTTTGCTGCACGTGCTTAAAAATGCAGAGAGTAATGCTGAACATCAGGGTTTAAATGTAGATTCTCTGGTTGCTGAGCACATCCAGGTGAACCAAGCTCCCGAGGTGTGGTACAGAACATACAGAGCTCACGGGCAGGTTAACTCAAACGTGAGCCCTCCCTGCCACACTGAGATGATCCTCACGGAAAAAGGGCAGGTTGTTCTTAAACCAGAATGGGAGGTTGCACACGAGAAAAAGAAATCCCAGCAGAAACTGAAGAAACAAAAACTTATGGACCAGGAATAAATACAGCATCAAATAAATGCTAATAAAAGTTTTAAAAAATTAACTGCATGGCACTTCCACTTCTGGAAAGATGGAGTAAATGTACTTTTCCCTATCCCTCCAACTAAGTACAACGAAAAGCCCTGGATATTATATATAAAACAAATGTAAGAAGACTAAGAAAGGTATAGAAAAGAGAGCAAACTGACCAGAAATGACACTGTGGCAGTTCATTGGGTTTTTCTTTCTGCCTCATATATTCCCAGACTTGGAGGTGAGAAGCCAGCAACCTAGAAACACTAGACAAAAATAGTCCCAACAAAAGCCCACTCTCTCTAGCAAAAGGACTAGGAAAGGGGCAGTCTCAAAAGACAGGAAACTTTTAGATAAAACCCACTTTACTACAGCCAAACACCACAGGAAAAGCTATGGTCTCATTCCCATCCAGGCCAGCAAAGTCTACAAAGGAAGCCTAGATTCTCCCCTTCCCGAGGCTGTAATAAGCACCCAATCTCCTTCTCCTTCCTATCAGGGGTAGTGACAGAGAAGGCCCAGTAGGGAGTCTGGATTTCTACCATGCCCAGCAGTAATGAGGTATCCCTCCTCCTCTACATGGGGCAAGGGTCAGAGGAGGGCCAGTGGAAAGTCAGGATTTTCGCCATTGCCCAGCAGTAATGAAGCCACCTCACCCCCAAACCAGGCAAGTTTTGGTGTGAGCTAAACAGGGAGGTGGAACTCGCACTCTCATCCAGTAGTAAGAAGAAGCCCCCCTCAGGTGTCAACAGAGGCTAAATTGGAAACCTGGACTTCTACCCCAACCTGGCAGAAATGAGGAGATGCCTACCCCTTTTCCTCTGCTAAAACTATGTCAAAGGAAGCCACCTAAAACAAAACAAAAGGTTTAAATAAGATCCAGAGTCTCATAATATAATTTCCCAAATGCCCAAGTTTCAATTTGAAATCATTCATTATATGAAGAACCAGGAAAATATCAAACTGAAAGAAACACAATCAACAGGTAACAACTCCAAGAGGACAAAGATGTCAGAAATGTCTAACAAAGATTTTAAAGTAGCCATCATAAAATGAGCAATTATGGACACACTTGATACAAATGAAAAAAATAGAAAGTCTCAGCAAAGAAAAGATATACAGATGAACAAAATGGAAATTTCAGAACCGAAAAATACGATAAGCAGTTATAAAAATTCAATGGCTAAGTTCAATATCAGAATGGAGAGGACAAAGGAAAAAAATCCATGAACTTGAAGACAAAACAATAGAAATTACCCAATCTGAACAACTGAGACCAAAAGGCACATTACGTAATGGTAAAAGGGTTGCATCACCAAGAAGACATAGAAATCCTAATGTGTGTACAACAAACAAAAGAGCTGCAAATATATGCAAAGCAAAAGCTCACAGAACTAGAGGATAGACAAACTCACACACTCTCAACCATTGATAGAACAACTACACAGAAGTAAGCAATGTGCGTTGTTGAGAAGAGCTCAGCAACACCATCAACCAATAGGATTTAATCAATATTTATAAAACACTCCACCCAAGCCAGAGCAGAATGCACATTCTTTTCAGGTGCACATGAAACATTATTCAAGAGAATCCATATGGTAGTCCATAAAACAAACCTCAAAAAATTTAACAATTGAAACCACACAGAGTGTGTTCTCCGATTATAATGAAATCAAACTAGAAATCAATAATAGAAAAGTACAGGAAAATATCCAAACACTTGGAAAGTAAACACACTTTTAAATAATCCATGGGCCAAAGAAGAAGTGTCAAGGGAAATTTAAAAATACATTGAACTCAGTGAAAATGAAAATACAACATATCAAAATTTGTGGGATGTCCATAAAGCAGAACTGAAAGAGAAATGCACAGCACTAAATGTTTACCTAAGAGAAAAAGTCTTAAATCAATAATATATACTCCCACCTCAAACATCTATTTTTAAAAAAGAGCAAAATAAAACTAAAGCAAGCAGAAGGAAATAGAGTTAAAAGCAGAAATCAGTGAAATTGAAAACAGAAAAAGAGAAAATCAGTGATCTTCGAAATATCAATAAAATAAAATTAAAATACAATTGATAACCCTGCAACAAAACTGAAAAAGGAAAAACAAACAAACAAATAAACAAACAAACAAAACAAAGACACAAGTTACCAATATCAGGAATGAAACATGGGATAAAATTATAAACTCTGGACCACGCCAAAATTATAACAAAACTACAGAGCGACTGGTACGTGGAGTCACCAGAGGTCTGCCTGAACAGAAGCCCTACAACTAGGTCACCTCAAATAGCAGGTCACCTCAAAACGGCAGGAGGGGCGGAGACGTGAAACAGCCTGGTCCCACAACCGGTCCCACAACCGCAGGTGGCGACAGAGAATCAGAGGGCTATCTGGGCTGCAGGGTAAAGAGCAAGAGGTCCCGGTTGCACACTGGGCTCACGAGCCCAGGGTTCCAGTGCCAGGAAGAGAAGTCCCCACAACCTCGGGCTGTGAAAACCTGCAGAGGTTGAGGCTAAGTGAAACGAGGGCCGCAGGAAGCAGAGATC